TAAAGGCATTAAAAGCCCCCCCCCCCCAAAAAAAGATGAGTCATCAAAACATTCACCCCGTACAGTGTGTGCCGATCGAGGCATGAGCTAATCAGACCTGTTTGTTTTTTGAACCAGGCTGTAAACATGTTAATCTCTGCTGTAAAAACAGGCTTTTTAGAATGGGTGTGTATGTGACTTCCTGTGCTTCTGCAGCTCAGCCTCTAGTGGACACTCGAGAAACTGCAGGATTGGCTTTATTTTTCAACAAAGGAGGTTGCAGCGTGACACAAACCTGCTTTATTTTGAAATAAACTATAATGAACTTTCGGTAGATCAAAAGTAACAACATTAACTTAACTGCAGAAAAAGGAACTCGTTACGCAAGGAAAAGTGAAATAGGACTGAACAAAAGGTAAATGTTTGATGTCATAAGGTGTATAAAAAATGTATTTTAAAAATCAAAGGAGCAATTTGTATCTCTGACACCTAGTGTTTAAAATGGGTACTGCAGTCTAAATTCAGCACATCATAGAAAGCTGTTCCCCCCCCCTCCTCTCTAGAGTCGATGCTCATACAGGTCACCATCTGGTGGACACTGAAGCTTCAGTGTTTATCCAGCTCTGCATCGGTCTGTAAACCTTTCTGTGTTCTAACCTCTCTCCATTTTTTCAAAATCATCTCCAATATTGATCCTAGTTTGAGCACGTTTCTGCTCGTGGAGCTTATTAGAAACATGCAGAGGCTTTTTAGGTCGGGTACAATCACTTCTATCTGAACCACTTCTCTTGCCCGCTTCCATCGTTGCAACACCTGTTGACCTGATAACTGCTCTCATATCTGGGAAACCGAGGGCGTCCAAAATGGCCGTGTGGTGCCTTAAAACCGCCTACCTTCTCTGGTCCAAACAAATCCAGAGCATTCAGGACCAGAATCTAAAGTTAGAAGGAGGACATACTGGCTGCTGCATTGTTGTCAGAGAAGCACTTCAACATAGCATGTTTCCTTAATGTCTGATCATATAGTAAGCTCACTTTATCATTTCACTCACTACACATCTCACTGATTTGACCTTTAAGATCAAAGTTTTCAGATGCAAATAGTAAACTTGCAGCTGAGAGCTTCAAGCATGCCAGTGAAATCAGGAAGTAATGAGAAAATGTTTTTGTTTCCTCCTGTGATTAATTTTTTAATGATAAGCAACAAATTGCAGCTTCACGCTTTAAGAATCAAACCTTCCCCACAGACATGATCCTCTCTGTAACCAACACAATGCCGGTGTTAAGATCAGCTCGTGAAGGTCAAACATGCTTCTGCAGGAAGAGAATAATCTTTCTTCAGTGGAAGTCAATTTCTCTTTTGATGTATAATCATCAGCGGGCTGCTGTAGATTGGATGCTGTGTTCCTCTGCTTAACTGACCACGCTCACAGTGCGATGTGTTAAATGGTCTGAACAAACACGGGTTGAACGCTGCTGTTGACCTTTAGCCGGAGGGTTCACTGATACGCTAGATTTAAGAGCTCTCTGAGGCGGTTCATTTATTCTGTTTGTTTGACTTCAGGGATGAGGAGGAACTTATTTTATACGGTGGAAGTTGAACAAATTCCATAAAAATAAAATCTAAACCAGAAACATGTTAATTTATTTTGGTATACTTTCTGACCTCTCTACCCCTGTAGCTTCTCGAGTCCCGTCGATGGCGGTCTCCATGTTGGAAATGCTTTCTCAGCCTAGCTTTCAGTCAACCTAACAACAGGCTGAGAGTTGGAGCTGAGGCGGGTTTTAAAGGGGACATATTCTGAAAAATCCACTTCTACAGTGTTTCTAACATTTTATTTGGGTAAACTGAGTTTCTACAGACCCACAAAATGGGGACGGCTGATCGTTATCGTGTTTGAAACGGGACAGATGGGGGAGGCAGAGATTTTGCAAGTCGACAGGAAGCGAGATAGAAGCAATCTGATAAAGCTGATGGCCCCAACACAAGTCTTACAACACAGAGATAAATGCTCCGTTTCAAATGTGCTCTCCTTGTGATGTCACAGTGGGATTCTGGTAATTGGGATTCTACCCTCTCCTCCCCTGATATCTCCACCCATGGACTCCACCCCCAGCCTAGAACAAAACTTTTGAGTAGGTCAGCCATTTTTATTCTCGTAAGCGAAGGAGTAATGTCTACCGGGAAAACTCGGGGGGGGGGTCTCCAAAACGGAGCGTTCTGAGAGAGCTGGTTTATACAGGGTCACAAACCCCCTCTGGTGCTTCATTCATGTTACAGCACAGATGTTTCATTTAGACCACAGGGGACTGTTTGAAAAGGTGGAGAAGGGGGATAATATGTCCTCTTTAAGCCTCCTGACAAACCGTTACACCGCTAAATATTGAGGCTTTAAGTACAATCTATAAATACAGTATATAAATGCAGCGATTACTCAAGGCTCCTTAAAGACACAGTAACTTATTTCACGTCTTTGTTTCCATTAAGGGTTAGACAGCGACTTTGTTTGGTTTTACACCTGGGAATACTCAGCATAAGAGCATCGAGCACATGAGCGTGATAAATAACATACAAGGACGATCGCAAATAATTCATCCCATGGGGGAACAGAGCAAACACCCTGCAGGCTGTGTACTAACAGAAAAGAAATGCATGAGGTGGGTTCAACAGAAGAAACAGAAGAAACAGCAGGAAGCACACAGCAGCATCAAGGGGCTGGAAAATAAAGAGGAGGCAAACTGCAGTTCCTCCAGTGTCCACTAGAGTCTGTCTCCTGCTGTGAGTCAGTCCCCATAGAGCCCCACGTTAAAATGTCCAACTTTACAGCTGCAGTTCCTCCAGTGTCCACTAGAGGCTGCGGTTGAAAGCGAGTCAGTCCCCATAGAGCCCCATGTCCAACTTAACAGCAGAAATAAAAATGATTAATACCTGATACAAAAACAGTTACAGTCTCTAGAGCTCATTGTTCAGCTGTTCAACTGTTCAGGCTGTTTTTCTTATACAACTCACCTGAATACATGCCAAAGGAATCTTTTTTTTTTTTTATGATGTTTATTGTTCGATTCGACCACCCATGAAGTTAGCAGGAGACGGGTTGCATCCATCATGAGTGTGCGTAGTTAACATTAAGTATGTCTCCATCTTAATCCTCACAATGTGCATGTTTTAGTTTCACTTCATGTGGTGCTAACAGAACAATCTGTTGCTTCACACACTTGACAGAATTGGCCTGACCCCCTCAAAAAAAAGGCCAAAACAGTAGTGGTGTGTGCTCTGATTCATATCATAAACACACACATGAACACAAACATCTGCAGTCATCAAGTAAACCCCCCCCACACCCTCCCTCCCTCCCTCCCAACCCTCCCCCTCACCTGGTTGTAGAGGGCACAGATGTGAAGAGCGGTGTTTCCCGAGGCGTTCTGGGCGCTCATGTCTGCTCCGTAGAACAGCAGATGCTCCAGGTGCTGCACATGGCCGTGACGGCAAGCCTACACACACACACACACACACACACACACACACACACACACACACACACACACACACACACACACACACACACACACACACACACACACACACACACACACACACACACACACACACACACACACACACACACACACACACACACACACACACACACACAGAAGAAGTGCACTGTCATATTCAGCCTTTACTGTAATACTACGTAGGCTTATAGTAGTTGCAGTAACAGGCCTTCAACACTAGATGTCAGTGTGCTGCAAAGGAGATAAAATCAACACGGGAAGCAGCTGTAGCCTCAGTTTGAACTCTGTTATTAAAAGATGAGGGATGAATGAGTGTGTGCAGAGTGATGGAGGGATGAATGAGTGTGTGCAGAGTGATGGAGGGATGAATGAGTGTGTGCAGAGTGATGGAGGGATGAATGAGTGTGTGTAGGTGATGGAGGGATGAATGAGTGTGTGCAGAGGTGATGAGGGATGAATGAGTGTGTGGAGAGTGATGGAGGGATGAATGAGTGTGTGCAGAGTGATGGAGGGATGAATGAGTGTGTGCAGAGTGATGGAGGGATGAATGAGTGTGTGCAGAGTGATGGAGGGATGAATGAGTGTGTGCAGAGTGATGGAGGGATGAATGAGTGTGTGCAGAGAGATGGAGGATGAATGAGTGTGTGTAAGGATGGAGGGATGAATGAGTGTGTGCAGAGTGATGGAGGGATTAATGAGTGTGTGCAGAGTGATGGAGGGATGAATGAGTGTGTGCAGAGTGATGGAGGGATGAATGAGTGTGTGCAGAGTGATGGAGGGATGAATGAGTGTGTGCAGAGTGATGGAGGGATGAATGAGTGTGTGTAGAGTGATGGAGGGATGACAGAAATGCTCTCAGTAGAAACCAGTGCTTCATTATCTGCTGTAAAAATTCCTCAGCATGCAGAGAGGAGAAACAGGGAATCGAACCGCTGATCGATTCTCAGGCAAGCTGCTTTGCCTCCGAGCCACAGCCGCTCGAATTATGGAAAATAATATTTACACAAGCAGAGACAAACATCAGGCTGAACGTGTCAGGAGGCTCGATTTGTCTCGACTTTCAGGATCTGTTTTTGAGGTTGCATGTTTCTCCCCTCTGCAAAGATAGATCATCGTATTCAGAGGTGAAAGGTCAGAACTTTTCTCCATTTTTATCTGCCTCGTCTCTCAACAGAAATAATAATTTTTCAACCAATCAGATTTGTTTACATCTCAGAAGTTACAAAACATGTGACAGAAGCAAGAAACAGAACAAAACACGTTCAAAATACTTTTTTCTTAGCGCTCCCCCGACTCACTTTTTAAGGTTCAAGGTTCAAGGTTTCTTTATTGGTACCTAAAAAGGCAGACAGGAGATTCAGCGTTGCAAAGATACATTAAAGCTGGTTGACGTGAAAGTCAGCTTGTCAAATGTTCCTATTTCTCAAACTTAATTTATTCCCTCAGTAAACAGTTTCCTCATAAGTTTAAAGTCTCAATCTGTAGTTTTAAGTCTTCTTCATCATATCATGATGTTCGTTTAGTTAATCATGGTCCCATGTAGAGACATAGGGCCAGATTTACTAAGCTCCCTATTAAAGAGTACTAAATTGCGTGTTCACTCCAAAAGTTTGCACGTTTGGTTGGTGGGCGTTTTGCGGGTGATCTACACACAAGAAAATGTGCGTGAATGACACCAGGTGCAAACCTTGTGGAGGCGGTACTATTTAAGTTGGGTTTTTGCGTGTTCTAGTGGTTTACATCACGGAGAGTTTGGACAGAAAGCAGGACGACTGCAAGCGCAAAATAGGTCTTCGTGGGAGAGGCAAATAAACGCACAATACTTTCGAGTTACAGCAGATAAATCTGAATATTACAAAGAAATATTTTGGGTATAAGAAAACCTCGGCATTAAACAGGGCCTCTCTTTTCTTCCCTTAATCTTAAGAATGAAGTGTCATACATTGCACAGGAGGTGCGAGCTGTGTCCTCTGTGGCACTGGCGCTCTACACTCGGGCCGTTGTTGCGCACCAGACAGCTGGCCAGCGCTGTGTCTGATCGGACATAAATGCCCTGGAAAAAGGTATCGAAGACGGGGGTACAAACAGTGGTGAGGTCCCCCAATCCAAGCAGCAGCGGGCTTTAGAGGGAGGTGACGAGCACATTATGGAGAGGAGCGCACCGGAGGGGGCGAGCCGAGAAAAAGGAAATCCTCAGTTTAAAATGTAATGTTGGCAAAAAGAGGGAAATAGGACGACATAAATGTCAATGTTGAAATTCTTTTGAATGCAGAGGCTGTGAATGTTTTGTTTGGCTGTAGGCTATGAAAACAATAGCCTGTAGTTTAATCATTGTGTTTCTCTTCCTTAACGATTAGAATATTGAATCAAATAAAAAAAATAAATGCATGCCATTCATTTTCCTGTGATTTGAAACACGTAAACACGTGGGGAAAACGTGATCTTTATGCCTTCTTTTGTTGTGCCCATGTCTCCTCCTAACTACAATAACTGCAGCCTGTTGTGCGTAACGCTGTGCTCCTGGATTAGCACGTTCCTTTCAAAGGTGTTAAATTCAGACACCGTCACAATCACTGCAGTTTTTGTCAGGCTTGGTAAATCGCAATGCGTGTACTAACTTAACTTGTTTGCATTTTCTCCTCCCAATATTTAGCACGTTAGGGCTGTTTTTCAAACTGGTGTTGGGTGAGAGGATGCCATGAATGAATGAAGACAACCTTGAACTGTGAACCAGCAGCAGCTGCCGCTCTGCAGCTCAGAGTGCCGCCTGACAGCTGATTGTTATCGTGTCTGAAACGGGACAGATGGGGGAGGCAGAGATTTTGCAAGTCGACAGGAAGCGAGATATAAGCAATCTGATAAAGCTGATGGCCCTAACACACACTCATATGCACACGCATACACACAGCACTCGTACTTTGTCACTGCTGCAGGGTGTCTCTCCTTAAACGACTTTATCTTCTCCAACAGGAAACAGCTGCCAAGTTGCCCACAGCCGGGAGAGGCGTGTGTGAGCCTGTGTGTGCTTTAGTAATGCTTTCACAATACAAGCTGTTCCATACAACACACAGCCAAAAAACCCCTCTGAGCTGATGTCTGTGCACCTGGTGGGTCTGTGTTTCATATGTGTGTGTGCGTGTGTGTGTGTTTACCTGGTGAACCTCGTGCCAGCCGTTCTCGTCCTGGCAGCAGACGAAGGCGTGGTGGTTGAGGAGGAGCTCGCAGCAGCCGGGGTCTCCCCCCACCACCACGCAGTGATACAGGGGAGTCAGGCCGCGGCTGTCCTTGTAGTCTGGAGAAGCGCCCAGCTCCAGCAGAGTCTGGAAACAGTCAAACAGGGGACAGATCGTTTATGGGTCGTCAAGCTTGGAGCCATTATGGATGATGAAGGTGGATTGACAAGCTTTTCCTCAAACCCCTGACAATGAAGGGAACAGAAACTAAGATGATGTGACACAAATCTGCTCGATATAAGTGACTCCACCAACGGTGTCATTTTCTTTCTGGACAGGCTCAAATCACTTCTCTCAGTATTACCTGAAGAGGTCTGTGTGATGTGATCCCAGAAGCCACAAACAGCCATCATGTCACTCCTGTCTATTTGTCCTGTACAACATCAGGAAGATCAGACCTTACCTGTCAGAGCTGCACAGCTCCTGGTACAGGCTCGTGATATCACACATCGACTATTGCAGCTCCTTACAGGCAGGTCTTCCTACATGAACTATCAAACCCCTGCAGATGATCCAAGACGCAGCAGCACCACTGGTCATCAACCTCCCCAAAAGAGCACATGTCACTCCGCTGTTCATCTCCCTCCTCTGGCTCCCAGTTACTGCTCACATCAAATTTAAAACTCTGCTGCTCGCTTACAAAACTTACTACACTCCCTCCCGCCCACTACGCTCTGCCAATGAAAGGCGTCTGATCCAACCTTCACAAAAGGGTCCTAAGTCTCTGACTAGACTCTTCTCCTCTGTCGCCCCCCGGTGATGGAACGAACTACCAAACTCCATTCGCTCTGCAGAGTCCCTTTGAACTTTTAAGAAAAATCTAAAGACCCAGCTCTTTATGAACACCTAAGACCTTCATGATGATGATGACAATATTTGGGATGGTTTTGATGCTGATTAGAACTCTCAAGAACAGCTGTCGATGTTGTGCTCTTCCTCTGGTCACTTCCTGTCAGCACCTCTGCTCACTTCCTGTCAGCACCTGTGTGTCCGATCAGACTTAAAGCTGTTTGTTCTCACTTCCTGACGTTGTCTCCTCTCTACATCCTTGCTTATGATGTTCTTACTCTGATGTTCGTCGCTTTGGAAAAAATTGTCTGATAAATATTTTGTAGAATTGTCTATCTCTTTAGGGATCCTTTCTGTAAAGTTTTCAGACACTCAAAGTTACAATCTGAGTCCATCAGTGACGGGAGAACTACTTTTAGAGGATGCAAAAGGATCATGTTGCAGCCATGACGTCATGTGTCACGGCTGCAAGCTGAAGCATCTCCGACCTAGCAGTCATTAAAAAGGGTTCAAGTCGAATAATACCAGAATGACCCATTAGTTCCAATGTGTTCATTGTTCCTCTGTGAATGAATCCTCCTCATTATCATAATAATCACTTCCCTTTAGCTCTTTTTAAAACACACATTACCAGCTCCTTTAATGCACATCAAAGAGAAAGTCCAACTGATTAAAATATCAAAGATGTTAAAAATGAAAAGGATAACTGGAGATAAAGAGACATTATTAAAGTGCATGCTTGTAAAGGTGAACTGTCAGATGGATTCAGGGGATGAAAAAGGGTTTTCTTGACTCAGCTGACAGCGTGAGTCTTGTTTCCTCTCATGTCTTCATGAGGCGTCATGTGCTGACTGACAGGTCTGCTCACATCACACTCTGATGTTGCTTATGCTACAAAAACATTCTCAGAGTACGATCTTTGTCAGACCTGCCTCACAGCTTCAAAACTTCCAAGAAATGATCAGGTGTGCAAAGATGAGAGAGAACAGAGTGAGGGGAGAGCGTGTGTTTCCTCACCATCAGAGTGACCTGGTTCTTGGAGCGTGCAGCTTTGTGCAGCGCCGTCATGCCGTCTTTGGCTCTGAAGTCCAGGTGAGCTCCTCCGTTCCTCAGAACTTTGATCATCTCCACCACGTTGTCCAGGTGAGCTGCAAACGTCAGCGGGCTCTCTGGAAAACAACAAGTGAAAGAGGAATGTTTATGTGAATGTTGTTTGTGTGCGCCAGCAGGAGAACAGAGCGCTGATCAGGATTCAAAATCATCCAGCAGCTTCTCTTTCATCGTCTTAAAAATCAGAGATCAGAGAGTCACAAGCGCAGAAATGAATAATAACTCTTTGGGCTAATACAAGGATGTTAAGACAAAGTTTGTTTCCTTTGGTACAAACCACCCAAGAAAAGTCTGCCTGCATTTCTTTATTGTAGCATTTCCGGGTTCAGTACAGTTTGGTGTCATGATGCCGACAATTCATTCAAGACCTTGTATCTGAGGAGCCCAATCGGACTGAAAGCGGTTTGCACTTTCCTATTTTCTAGATCCTTGCTTTTGTTGTTTTTACTTTCTGATGTTCGTCGCTTTGGATAAAAGCGTCTGACAACTGAATTGTAGAATTGTAGATATCTCAGGTGTTACAAGCCGAGCAGAGGCAATGTGGTGATGTGTGTCTGTGTGCATTCTTTGAGTGTGTGCTATATGTGTGTGGGAAGGTCCCACTGTTTGTTTACAGGTCGGCTCTCTTGAGCTATTGCACAATGTATGCAAAGTGAAACCACACACACTTGTGCGTTAATACAATGTGCATGTGTAACTCCAGACAGCAACGTTGAGAACCGCTTTGTCCCCAGACCTCCAGTTAGACCCTGGTCCCTGCAACGCAACAACACCAAGTCCCTCTAAAGGTTCTCAACGACCAAAACTCTCTTTATTTTACATTTATAAACTCATGGCTGACGTCACAATGGACATGTCTATTTCTTGGTTACAGTCCACGATTTAGATTGTCAACATGTGATGTTCAGACAGTTTTCTAAATACTCCAATACATGACCAATCAGATCTGCATGGGGCCTATACTTTCCTCATAGACAAATCCCAGACTAAGGACTTTTTCAGGGTTCAGATAAAGACCTGTTGTTTTTTTGTTTAGACTCAGGCGCCTGCTGTGGAAACACACCGAGTACCTCTAAAGGTTCCTCGTCCCTTGGGAGAGTTCCTGCTGTGAGATTGTGGCTTTCCGCCGCTCAAAGAAGAGGAGTGTTTACACTTTCTGCAGGTAATCACATGGAGAGCTTTTTTCCTGGACAGCTGAAATCAATCGCTCGTAAGAGCCGAGTAACAAGAGTCCACTCTGCAGGGACGATTCCCCCAGAAGCACCAAGGCGTTCATTTAACAATGGCTCTCAAAGCCCATTAAAACAAGCTCAATTCTCTGCTTAATAACCTTCCTGCTTTCAGCTGCACCTGTGCTCGCCTCAATAGACCTCTTTTATTTATTTTCTATTCTGGCCAATCTGTGTCCACTCAGTACAGGCAGTGTTAAGAGCACCTGCACCGCGGAGATACTCTTGACACCTTCATTAAACGCTCATAAATAAACATGATTGTCACCTTTAATGCTGAGGTGAAGCAGCGCTGAGTATCAACATGATTGGGATGAGCTTTTAATCACAGGACGCTTTCAATGATTGCTCAGTTTGTCTGAAATCTGTGAAAGGTAATCGTCAGTGCAGAGAGGAAAGCGTTGGATTTAAAGGATCCTCTTAAGACCGGAGGATTTCTTTTGTTCTTCTGGACGCTGAGTTCTCACTGAGTGCTCTTCATAACTGTCTGATTATTTTCTCATTCCATCAGTGCAGCTGAACCTAGTGTGACTCATAATATACAGCTCTGAACTCCACTCCCTCTTCATGCTCCCTGCGGGGATTTAACTACAGGCCTCGATTGCTGCCTGTCAATACTATGGA